TGGGGGGGGGGGTTTTGATTTCCTTCCTCTCCACCCCCCCAGACTCCTGGACAGGGGCTGGACTGGATGACCCAGAGGGTCCCTCTCTTCCTTAAGAGGAGGAGGAGGAGGAGGAGGATCGTGATCCTTAACGAACTGCTGGAGAGCTCCATGGGTTGGAGATCTGGCTGCGGAGCCCGAGAGGTTGGGGGTTCGATTCCCGACTTGGCTTCCGTGACCCAGGGCTGGACTGGATGACCCCCCAGGGTCCCTTTCCAGCTCTTTGCAGTTCTAAGGTTCAAAACGTGCTCTTAAATATATATATATACACACATTTAACATATATGTTTAACATTTACTGGCATAAACTATGCAAAATTGGACAAATCTAATGAATGTCTCTTTTATCTATCTATCTATCTATCTATCTATCTATCTATCTATCTATCTCTATCCATCCATCCATCCATCCATCCATCCATCCATCCATCCATCCATCCATCCATCCATCCATCTATAAAAGAGAGGCATTCATTAGATTTGTCCAATTTGTCCAATTTTGCAGAGTTTATGCCGGTAAATGTTCTGACCATTCTCTTGGTACATGGTGGGCGTTTTCCAGCGGAATCTTTTACTGTATTCTTCAACCCCTCCAGCTTCAAATGCAGAATTTCTACAGGAGATACCGGCCTTGTCTTCCATGTTTAGCTCTCCCACGTTCTCGGCTCTTCCCATGAAACAAACAAATGAACAAAGGCCTAACAGCTGCATCAGGTCCCTCTCCCTGAGCGCAAGGACTGCTCCGTCTTGAAATATACCCAGTCTTCTTGTGTTAGTTAGAAAGCAGAATGAGGGCAGGGCAGAAACTGAGATTACAATTCACACCCTGTCTATTTCTTTAAAAACGTGGCGTGACGGAGACGGCATCTCGGTTTGCAAACGTTTCTGACGAGAGCCATAAAAAACACGCAGAAGGCTGGTGAGATGGACCCAGAATGACCGTCGCGTGGCCTTCAGAGGCTCCACTTCAGAGACGACCTCTTCTTAGTCTATATTCTGTATTTTGCCACCTTGCTCACCCCAGCCAGAAAGACAGCAATAGTCTTCCAGACAAGGTCTTATGCAGAAATGTATCTTTTTCTCTCGTTTGTTCCTGGCGCTCTCCTCCTCCTGCCGGGTGTGCTTGGGAGACACCGTTCCAGCAATGGGGAGCTTTGAAAGCCTCCACTACTGATGTCTCGGAGTGAGTTACTGAGACTGTAAGTGCCAGTGGATGAGAAAGGGGTGGACTAATCTGGAGAGAACTTGAAGCTATTCTGCTCTGTGAATCCCCGCACTTCTGCTTCCGCAGCTAGAGGAATTTAACCAGAAATTCAAAACTCTGAAACACAGGTTGCCTTTTCTAAACACCAGCCTAGCTTCCGCTCACCAGGGGCCAAATCTGTGGGCTCTCAGATCATGCCACGCACAGATGGGTGGCTAATGGGTGTCAGAGGCTCTGACAGCGGCTAACGCAGAGGTCCTGCCAACCTGCCAATTATAGCCATAGTTTCAGAGGAATAAATTCATTATCCCCCACCTCCTGTCACTCACTCCAGCATCTCCCCCAACCCTGACCAGAGGCTCCTTCGAGCCTTCCCATCCTTTGCAGGCGAGAGACGGCACCGCGCCGTAGATCAATTAGGGACCAAGATGCGGCTGTGATCATTAAACCCCCTCCCCCGCTCATTAGCAAGCATCCAAATTGGCGTAATTGGGAAACATTATGCCAATCAAGGAAATGTGCTTCTGTTTACATGTTGGGATGGGAGAAAGAATTAGGGAGTGCGGGAGGAAGATTTTGACGGATAGCCCGCAGATACGGCTCAGAGAGAAGCTGGTAAAATATACTGTTTATTCCCGGTGCCATTAAGTTGGAACCAACTTTCAGCAAACAGGCCTTTCGAGGTAAGTGAGAAGTTTAAGGAGTGGTTTTATCAGATCCACATCTCTAGTGAGCTTCCGGGAGTGAGAAGTTTAAGGAGTGGTTTTACCAGATCCACACCTCTAGTGAGCTTCCGGTATTCGAACCCAGGCCTCCAGAGTCTTCGACTCTCAGGCTATCCACTACACCACATTTGGTAATCCAAACATACTGGCTGCTGGTTTTAAAAGTCTGAGGGTTGCCACATTTTTAGCCTGCCTGTGTCACTGTGCCTTTAAGAGGTCCTCAAGCTTTATTCAATATATTTGCAAGGGGATCACCTTCACAAACCCTTCAAAGCATTGCTGGAGGCAGAGTGCATTGGGCTGATTTGTTTCCTTGGTCAGCTGGCAACCCTACAGACCTCGATGCTTGCCAAGAAGCTGAACATCTATCCTTCTGGAATTGGCAGGGAAGAGCCAGGACACAAGGGCCAGAATTCAAACGGCTTGACAGCTCCTGTATTTAGTTTTTTTCTCCAAACTCTCAGGCCACTTTCTCCGCGGCTTCCAAGCTTAGCTGCTCCTCTCTGGGGGACAGTAGCCAGCAGAACAATTAAAGACGTTTATCTCTGTGTTCCAGAAATGTAAAGCAGCCGTGGGCAGTTTTGGAAAGGGAGAAAATGCTGACACGTCAGCCCAAAAGACGAACCTGAAAGTGGATCAAACCAAGCTCGAACGCAGAAATGACGACACCGAGGCTGTCCTGCTTTGGACATGTCGTGAGAAGGCAGGATTCTTTGGAAAAAAGACCATCCGGATGGGAAAGTTGGGAGGCAGTAGGAAAAGAGGAAGATGGACTGACTCCCAAAATGGAGGGCGGTGGAAGAGAGGATAATCCGCAGAGCACTCCTTCATAGGATTGCCGTTAAGTCAGCAGAGACGTGACGGCACGTGACAGCAAAAACACCTTTTGCAAGCGAGGCGAAGCAGCGGATCAGCCAAGTTATGCCATCATCATAACTACTGCTGTAGAGAGTTTAGCCCAGCAAATATCCAAGAATGTCCCTTTATGCCTTCTTGATCTTTTCAGAACACAGTGGGCTGGCTTAATCTGGCTTATCATCCTTGTTTATGATAGGTGAATTGAACCTCCTCGTTCAAGAGCAGTCTACCACTGCCCTCCAGCACCAAGCTTGGAAAAATCATTAGTTATGGTTATAGTACCAAAGCTTCTAAGAATAGTTATGGTTGCAGTTAAAAATTTTTTAAAGGCTCTAATTTTTCCTTAACTACCGTATTTTTCTGTGTATAAGACTATACTTTTGTCTAAAATCTTTAGACTAAAAATTGAGGGTCATCTTATACACGGAAGTAAGCTGAGGAGAGAACAAAAACAAGTGGAGGGGAAAGCAGGGATCAAAGCGATCCTGCAGCGCTTTGATCCCTCTCACCTACATTTGCTAAACCCCACTTGGATTTCTTAATTTGGGGTTAGAAAAATGAGGGGCGTCTTATACATGGGGGCGTCTTATACATGGAAAAATACGGTACATTAAAGTTATTTAATAACGAAATAACTAGTTTTAGTTAATCTTAGCCCCCCATTATAAATGATACAAGTCACCCTGGCCTACGGTACGAAACTGATGTTCCTCTTAACCAGCTGGAAGTTGTTTTAACGCCCACAACAGACAAGAGCCGGTGAAACGAGAGACATTCCTTCCTTACCAGGCAGCAGACCACCCTCAGATTTTAAAAAGAACCAAAAATGTTACAGTTACACGGCAAAAGGAAATTCAGCGATTCCTCCTAAAGTTACTATCGCCGTGCAACTTTGCTCTGCCTTAGCGATTCAGCCACCGAAGCTGTGCTTACTCAGCCGGAGAGGAAAAATACGGCTGGCTTTGCTCACTAGGCTGATTTTAATGACCATCGACATTAAGAAAGGAGGCAGAGATAACGGCCTCTTGACTCCAATGGGGTTTTGATGGATCTCCTAAAAGGATATATTAGGACAAGAGGATTTGGAAATAATGGTGAACGTTTAATGACTGCAGCAAAAAGGAAAAAAATGAATTGCGTAACGCTAAAGGCAAGGAAAGGCGCTCGCCATCAGAACATGGTAAAAGAAAAAAATAGAATACAAGGAATACCGTATGTTAAGCCAATATATAAGACCCAAAGATTTTACTACATCCATTGCATAGCCTGTGTGGTTTTTTTGGGGGGGGGGGATTAGGCTTGTCCCTTAATATTGATTGATCGATTGATAGGAGAGACCTGCCGATGGATCCCAGGCTGACCTGCGGTAAATCAGAGCGGGGTTTTGGGTCCTGTGTGGCTTGACACCCGCAAGGAGAATTGGGCTCTGACTTCCCGCACGACTGTGCTCAAAAAGGAGATTATTCCGACGAAGATGTCGAAACACAGACCGTTGTGTGCTATAAAAGATGATAAGATCGCTTCTGGAAATGAGAGCAGATTTTTTGGGGGGGGGGCACCAGACAGGGAAGCTGGTTCCCCTGAGACACACCATTTTACACCCATCTCTGGGGGAATCTCAAGCTTCTGTTTATAAACTTAACTAACTCCCGACTCGGATGCTTTACTCACTTTTTGCATTAGCCAGACAGGTGGCTGTGGACGTTTTCGCCTCGCCAGCAGTTTGAACGCACTTTTACCGCCATGTTGGCGTATCTCCTTAATGGGTTTTCTGAGAGAAGGGGGAGAAAACGGAGGAAGTAACAAGGAAGGTTATAACAGCAGGGCACGGTCACGTCACCCCCTGGGGAATTCGGTGGCGAGGCAGGACACAACGCTGCCGAAATCCAGACAACCTATCTTCTGCGTGTGCATTCTGCGCTATCAAGTCGGAACTTACAGCAACCTAAGAGGGCTTTCAAAGTCAGTGAGATATTTAAGGAGGGGTTTGATCACTTCCACTCCCCCAGGGAGTTTCCACGGACAAGCGAGAATTCGAACTCAGGCCTCCAGAGTCCTAGACCGTCATTCTATCCATGGCACCGCACCGGGAATGCGTGTGTTGCTTTGGTGCTCAGTGACAGTTAATGACTAGGGGTCGGTGTGCTTCCTTCGCCTTTAATCTTTGAAAATGTCATCCCCCCCATCAACCTTTTGAAAATATCTACAAAGTGTGTGGGTTCTGATTCATCAAAAGTACAAAAAACACAAGGAAAATTCTCAACCATTGGCATTTTCGAAAAAGCAGATCCAGTTCCGTGTCCAGAGGGGGACCGTACCTTAACTATCATCCTATTTAAAATGACTCTTTCCTTGAAATGGAGGACAAGATCGGAGGATTTTGGGATCAGGAAAAGGCCCCACCAAAATTTCACCGATCCTTTTTACAAAAAACCCCCCACAAAACCTTCTACCTTCGACACCTGAACATTTTCTCGTTCGAAAACTGCCAATTCTTCTGAGTGATCGAAATAAATCAGGAAACGAGAGACGTCTCCTGGCCAGGCACATAGAATGCAGTATTTTCCCCCCATTGATTTTTTTGTAGGGATTAAAATCCTAGGATGAGTATTGGAAAAGGTGTGGCAGGAACGACGTGAGATTTCAGGGCCAAAAACCCGGGAACCAGCTTGGCTCCTTGCGGTGTCACGGAAGGCAGTGAACACAACTGCAAAATAAACCCCGTGTACACAACCACAAAGTCTAAGCCACGAGGTTAAAGCACATTCAGCTTTAACCCCTGGGCTTCTCGGCGGTGAACTTTGGCATGCAGAGTGCACACGTGCAAAATTTCCAATTTTGTGGGTTTTTTTAAAAAAATTAACATTGAATCAAAGACATTTCACATAACATGGGGTGCGTCTCGTTCCAGGTGGCAGAGAACCGCGCGAGAAAAATGGCCTGCAGTCTCTCAAGATTCGACGCATCGACTTTAGTGCTGTGTCATCTCCGAAATGTGACATCCAGCGCACGGCGAACCTGCCGGGTGAGGTCAGCTAAAATCTGAAACCCAGGAATGCAGAAACGCTCAGCTGCTTGCTCATAAGCATTTGCCCTATTTCTGTTTGTTCCAGTTTCGATTCCCGCAGCACACGTAAACCAAGGCCCGTTGCTTAAATCAAAGTGACGCGGGGCCATAAATAAATAAATATATGACTTTGTTTCTCCTGGACGGGGAATTAGGAGCTCTCTGATTCTGTCCTCAATTTAGTTACAGATACCTGCACAGCTGGCTTTCCAGGGCAAGAACACTGGGTGGGGGTGGTGTTTCTAGTCCTCAAGAAATCAGAAGTGACCATAGAGAGGGAGCAGGAAAAAGAAGGGACCTCACCCAGAGAGAACAAGGGAGAGAAAGACCCAAGAGCCTAGGAGTAACATTGCTAGCATTTCCCCTAACAACTAATCTCTGTGTTGCAAGGAGCTGCAAGTCTAAATCAGTAACAGAAATTAGGTGAACTTGAATTTCTGAGGTTTTTTTTTTAAATGTTCAGAAAGAAGCGTTGCGATTCTTTCAAATCCCCCCCTCCCCAACTTTTGGATGTCCCACTGCCGTCTGAACCCGCTTATCTTCAACGCCATCCATCGTGTTAGCAATATCTATTTCCGTATACAGTATACCTTTTCAGCCCAGAGGCTTTTGAAAAAGTAGAGCATGAAGGAGCAAGGTACATCATCGCTTAAAAGCATAGCTATGTAGAAGGCTCAGGCTTCCAGCCGGACCTTGACCCAGAAGAGAAGGAGAAGAAATCTGCTGTAATTCGAGCAAGTTATCAAAACTGGATGGGTGGGGGGAATGAGCAGAGGCTCGACTACAGGACTGCAGTTCAACCACCGCGCCTGAGGCTTAGAGCAAGGCTATTTGGAGTTAGGAGGTAAGGAAATGGCTTTAAAACAAACCAGAACGCGGGTCTGTCGTCTTCGATGCTGTTCTCACTCTCGGCACATCCAGGAATCTTCCTCGGAGATGCTGGAGGCTAAACCAGGAATGGAGAAAAGAAGGTGCTCTCTATATACCCCCTTTTCCAACATTTGATTAATCTCAGTTGGGTTTTTTGGGGAGGCTGTTATGTGTTAAAGTCGGGTTAAAGGCACCTTCTGGTTGGGACAGAAGCCTGGGTAATTTTTTTTTGGAGGGGGGGAGATTTTCTTTTCTAACTTCAGACGCCAGCAAATCTTGGAAAATGTCAATATTCTGAGCATTCCGACCTATGCTAATGTCCCGAGTCATCCATCTGTTTTGTTGAGAAATGTCACATTTGAATTCCATCAAGGCTGCATCCCTTGCCTACACGTTGATCATCGCTCAAGTGCCGCGTTCTGGCTGGAAACACACCACACGATGTCCCGGGGACTGACAGCTGAGGGGCGTCAACGCAAGCCGTCCCCTTGGAATCAGGTCGGGCTACGGGGCCATCGACTCTTCCGCCCGGTGCGTTGGCAACGACGGGTGGCCTCTTGCAAATGCAAGCCCATGGCTTCGTTGAGGGAGTCAGTCCCTCTCGTATTGGGTGTTCCTCTTGTCCTGCTGCCTTCCCCAGCGTGATCTTTTCCAGAGACTCCGGCCTCTTCTGGACATGCCCAAAGCAGGACAGCCTCAGTGTCGTCCACTCTGCCTCCTGGGATGGTTCACGCTTGGATTGATCTAAGACGCGTTCAGTGCTGCTTATTTAGAAAGCTGGCTCAAACCATTAAAATGGGGAATGTGGCCTTCCTTCCCTGTGTTTCTCCTGAACAAGCCTAGCAGGAGTGAAACGGAAGGGGGATCTTTAAAGGCTCACCCCTTTGGGCTCAGCGTTTCCCAGATGTTCCCGGACTACAACTCCCAGGAGCCTTTGCCACTAGCGCCGCCAGCCAGGATTTCTGGGTTGGGAACTGCTGCTCGGGCCAAAACCCTCGGGGCTTAGATCAGTGCCTGGCTGCTGGAGGGGTGGCATGTAAATAGGACCAATAAATAAATAGAGATTGCTGGAGAAAATCTGTCAATTAATTAAAAAAAATTTAAAAAGTGCTGGCTTAGATACTGGCCCCCATAGCCCGGGGTCAATCCCTGGGATCCTCAAGAAGACCCACCCCTTTAGCTCAGTGGTTCCCAGATGTTCCCAGAAGCCTTTGCCACTAGCGCCGCCGGCCAGGATTTCTGGGTTGGGAACCGCTGCCCGGGCCAAAACCCTCGGGGAGACCCCGCGAGAGAGCCTCTGCTTCAGGAAACCCTAGAGGGCTTGCGAGTCTGGAAAATGGATCTGGTGTCGTCCATCAGGGCTTAGGCGTTGTCAACCGCCCAGATTGCCCCTCCAGTAAGGTTGGGACTCAATTCACTGACCTCGGAAAAGATGGAAGGCTGAGTCGCTCTTGATCTGGCTCGGATCAAACTCGGGTCGAGAGCAGAGTCTTGACCGCAGTACTGCAGTTTAACCATTGCGTCACAAGGCTCCTTAAATAATAGTAACTATAATGAATTGGAGCAGTGGCACCACAGAGATTTGGTTTCCGGATTTTATTCTTTGTAAGGAGACCTGGGGAAGGACAAAGTGCAAATGATCGTGACTTGGAGGACAAGGTTAGCTGGTGTTGTGATGATGTCTGTTGACGCCAGGCCTCTCGTGGTCAAGGATTCGGGAAAGACACAAGGAAAAGATCCTTTGAGACAGCCTGCTCCAGAGAATGAGAGAGAGGGTGCGTGCGCACTCCGAAAAGTCACTCTGACGGACGGTTTCTGATGCAAGAAGCTGATTGCTGCCATCACCGGCTCCTGACAGATGGCTTCGCTGTCACGCTGTGTCGGAGGCAAGGAACGTCCCGATCCGTTTGCACGTTTAACATTCAAGGTTCCTGCTAAACTGCCGGCAGAATCGTTCGCTCCCCCCTTACGAAGGGCTGGCGCAAGAACGGAAACATATTTGGGGGCGGGATGGGGGTGACTCACTGAGGGTGCAAAGAAGCTGCTTCTCCGCACGGCTGGATCTTTCACACATGCCGCACGCACGTGTGAACAACTCACGTCCTGTCCTAGTGCACGGAACGAGCTTAGCCCAGTATCGTGAATGTTTGTGTCCCCCACTTACTGAATAACCGATAAAATGCAACCCACGGTTTCATCACGGCAAGGAAAGTTTCTGCAGATCGGCAGCCGGAAGGATAAAAGGAACGGCTCACCCCTTGACGGCGGACTGTTTCGCTAGCCTGGTTTTTAGGCCAGAGAGAAAAGCCAGGGGAAAAAAAAGTAAAACACGGCTGCGTCTCGACCGGGGAGGTTCCGTCAGGTCAAGAAGGAGCCGAGAGACCGCGCGAGGGGGGCTGGCCTGTCGGCGAGTCCCGTCACGCCACGAGTCGGTCCTCTTGGCTGCTGACGCTGGACCGCTTCCGCGGCTGGACGTCACGATCCTGTCGGGAGAAAAAGGAGGGCGAAAGGTTTCATTAGGCTGGGGTGGAGGGTCACAGCCTCCAAGCTCTGCAGCTCCAGGGTACCCTCTGAGGCCAAGGTCGTGCCGGCTTCCCTCACGTCTGCTATTGCGATCGTACCAAACGCGGTTTTACAGGAGTAGAAGCAGAACCCTGGCCGGATCAGGCCAAAAAGGGTACGACATGGCCTATTTTTCGGTGTCTGTAGGCTGGGGTACGCCTCATTGCGTTGGTGGATGAACGAGACCCGTCCGACCCCATTTCTTGCATCGGGAACATGTCAAAGTCCCGCTGAATGTATACATTGCTTTCCCTAATTGCAAGTTCGTCGCCAAGGGGTGGCTTCCGGGCAGGCTTGTCTGGCAAACTCAACTCCGCCTCGACACTGTTTTTTAAGCCCTCTTCCCCCGCACTCCAACACTGCCTCGCCAGCAGAACCTCTGCAGCCGGGCGTCCTTACCGAATCGGAGTCCTCTCCCGTCTGGCTGCTCAGAAAATCCGCGTAGTCGTCCTTCTGGCTGCCCAAAACCTCCTCTTCGTACTCGGTCTGATAGTCGGATTCGTCTGAAAGAGAGAGGAAGGGGAAAGAAAGAGGATGTTCTCAAACATGGAGAATGTCGCCCGCGGGATATGTCTCTTTTCCCCAAGGAATTCTTATGACCTTCAAGTTTTCCCAGAGCCTCCTAAGCAAAAAGGCCAACTTATTTTTGGGAATAAAAAAGAGGGTTTCTGGAAGTCTCTAAGAGATTTTTTTGCTGCTCTAGGAGCCTGTGGGGTTTTCCACCAAGTCTCCTCGAACCCAATCCAGCCTTTGCTGTCTGGGGATGTCCTGTTACGACGGTTTTCTCTCTATTTCTGCTATCTGGAGGCTTGGTGCAATCCAGGTGGGTGCTTGGGGGGGGGAATACATTTGCACCCCTGGTCTGCCAAAGTTGCTCCTCCTTGGAGGGTCTTGATGACCTCCGGAGGGCTCCCTTCACCCAAAAGACTCCTCATCAAGAACGGGTGAACCTTTTTCTATTATCCGTTTAAGCCCGCACGAGGCGTCTTGAACAGCAAAGAGTGCCAGGTGGCTCTAGTCAGCCAGCCAAGCTGCACGCTACCAAGAAAGGCAGGCGCTGGGTTCACAGCAGGAAGGGGAAATGCCCACATCAGAATGTCACAAAAAGGCCAGGAACCACCGTCCAGGCCCTCAAACGGAGACCCTCATGGCCGAGGTGTGCCTGAAGAGGGTTTTTGTGGCATGAAAGCTTCCTCCCAGAACCGCAACTCACCATCCACCACAAGAGGTTTGACCGGCTCTATCCGGGACACGATTTCGGCCAAGTCCGTGAAGGACGTGGTGGGGCAGGTGACCAGCTGGAAGAGAAAGAAATCACATTTTTTCGCCACAGCTGCCGAGTCCTCCTGCCCAGGTCGGCCCCTCGAGCCCAAGCAAGGGGTGGGGGAAGAGAAGGAGGCCAGGAGAGTGCGCGGCGAACCCCAATATTCAACCCCCGACTTCCGCTCACGAGATGGCCTGGGCCAAACCGCGCTCTTGGGAGGGCTGAGGGTTGTCCCGTTCCCTGGCCCTTCTCTAGATCCTTTCCCAGTGGGCAGCTATTTGATTTATATCTTTAATCGTTCAATTTGTACCCCCCCACTTCCATTAGGGCCCCTGGGCGGGTTACGACACATGGAATATGAAACAATTAAAAAAAAACAGGGAGGGGATGATGTGATTGGGGAGTCAAAAGATCCAGAGAATTCAGGGTTCTCCGCTCGGCCTTGGGAGCTAAAGGCACACTGATGGGGTGGTCTTTCTCCTCCTCTCCTTTTAGCCCCCGCTCAGCTCCCTGGATACTCACGCACGAAGGCTTGGTTTTGTACAGCTCCTGACGGTCCTTCAGCATTTTCTCCAAGACGCCGCTTCTGCACCAGACGTTGAAGAGCGTCTTCCCGTGCTGATAACCCACCTCCTGGGGACGGAAGAGGGAACCGTTGTCGGAGCCGAGCCGGACTCGCGCGCCCGAGTCGTGGGGCATGGAAGCAGAGCCCTTTGCCCCGCACATCCAGTGGTGGGGAAGAAGCAGGGGAAGCACCAAGGGGGGGGGAACCACACACTGGCCTTCAAAATAAAACTGTTTTCAGACTCGTTGCAGGCAACCATGTCCCTGTGATTTTTTTTAAAAAACCAGGGTCGGAGCTTTCTCGGTGGTGGCCCCTCTGGAGATCCGCTGGGCCCCTTCCTCAACGGCGTTTAAAAGGATGCCGAAGAGGGAGCTTGACAAGGAAGCGTTGAGAGACATCCTTTCCTGGATGCTGGAGCGGGATCTGGTTTCACTTGCCACCCCCGTTCGTGTTTGGGGGTGTTCGGTTTTCTACTTTTGAAACTTTTTAGACAGATGGTTTGGCTTTGTTCTCGGCCGGTTTGGGGCGGGGGGGTGGGTGGGACGGGGTTAGGATTATAGTGACTGTTAACCATCCCGAGTAATGCATGTCCCTAAGTTGGGCGATAAGACAGACGTATGAGACGGATAAATCAATAAATATGAAGAGCACGGGTCCTCCAGCTTTCCCTGCCGACAGAGGATGCTTGAACCCCGCTGCAAGAAGGAATCTAACACATACGAGGCAAGAGCGCTTCCCTCCAAGGGAACCCGACCCCATCCGTTGGCCACCCTGGCACCCCCCCCTACGCACACAGATTTCGTCGAACTTCCCGAAGTCCAAGGTGCCGTAGCGGTCGATGGGCGGCCGGATGTATTCGCAGTAATCGCTGCTCTTGACCATCTCCAACTGGCGGACGCAGCAGACGTAAGCCAGCCGGGTCTGGATCTCCGCCATGTTCAGCACCTGTGGGAGGTGCAAAGCATCACTGGACCCCCCAGGGCGGAGAATCAGGCAGGGTCGCCCGGGGGGGACCCCCCCAAAGAGAGCCGACGGCGTCCGCTTCCCCCCTGAGCACCTGGGTGAGCGTTTGGGCAGCTGGGCTGAAAAACGCTCATGAAGCAGCTCGAATTGTTCTAACGGAAGGGAGTCCCCACAGAACGGAAACCTTGATTAGCCGTAGCAGCTAAACTCGGCTTGAACTCAGTCCCATGGGGGGAAAGCTGGGGGCAAAGGAAGGCAGATCTAGGTACGGCTTTACTTACTATCCTGTACCATGTAAGCCGGCATGGAAAGCAGCCAGAGAAACAGGTTTTATCCCCAAGTATTTATCCCTAGGTGTGTTTCTGCAGATGAGTGGTAGGCTGAAAGATCCCTTCTTAACATCTAAGCCTGTCTAGTCTCCTCGGTATCCCTGCTGATCACCCTAGGTGATTTTTTTTAAAGGAGCCCACGTTCCTTATGCCCACTACCTTGACTTTCTCCACCAGCGGGTTCCACCGCTTCCACAGCAGCCACCAGCCGGAGAGGGCATCCCCATAATTGGTGAGGTTGGTCTCGTCCCGGCTGCCCACGTCGATGGCGATGACCACTTTGGCGCCCATGGATCGGGCCACGTCCGCTGTCGGGAGAGGAGAAAGGCACCGTCATTCCTGTCTCGCTTCTGCCCGCTGGCCCGAGGGCTCGGCTGGACGCGAGTCTTTTTGGCAGCGTCCTCGGCCGCACGGCTTCCAGACCTGAACAAACAAGAGGGTCCTTTTTGCTCTCTGAGAAATTCTCCCCTGCTCAGCAAAATTAGGGTAATTTATGGGCCTTCCCTGTTCCAGCCATTTACTTTGAAGGCCCGACACGAAAGCAAGCAAACATTCCTCTGGATAGAAAAAGCCTTTTTCTTTTTGCATAGAAAGAGTCGGTGTGACTCAGTGTCCCTCGGGGAGGCGAGGGTGAGAAGACGAGAGGAACAGCCAGGGAGCCGGGCCTCTGCGAGGGATGTGCCATTTCAGTTTTCAGCGGGTGGTGGGAGACAGCAGGCTGAAGAGGGAGATTCTCTTCCGCCGCGTACCGGCCTTCTCCTCCTGCAGGCAATTGCAGCTTACATTTTTAAAAGAAGAAAGACCCCCACCATTTAAGAGCATTCGGCCCTCTGGCTTATTTGTCACTCCCCCCTGCCCAGCAATGGTGACGAAGTTAGAGGCAGGGAGGACCAAGCATTCGGAGCTCGGTCTGTCGGCCGCGAAGCTGATCTCAATAAATAAATCCCTCCGGAGCTCCTTGGAGAAAAGCGGAGCTGAAAAGTGAATTAACGCAGGCCTTTGCCGGGGACACCTAAGACAACACCACCTAAACCCACCGGTCTGTCCAAACTAATCCAGGCTCAGTGCATCAGTTGGCCCATTCAATGGCTCAAGGTCTCCCCGATTCAGTGTCGTTGTTAGGTGCGGTCAGGTTGCCTCCGACTAATCCAGGCTCAGTGCATCAGTTGGCCCTGATTCAGTGTCGCTGTTAGGTGTGCTCAGGTTGCCTCCGGCGTAGGCCCCCCCCCATGAAAGAATGAACTCCTAAAGGGCCTGTGATAAAATATCCCCGCTCAGGTCTTGCAAAGGACAGACGTGCTTTCCTTGACCGAGTCGGTCCATCTTGTATCGGGTCTTCCTCTTCTCCTGCCGCCTCCCGCTCTTCCCCGCCCTTCCTGCCTTTCTTGTCTTCTTGTGATATAGCGTTCAGTGGGTCTGCTTAATTTAGACTAGCAATTGGCATTAGAACGTGGTTAGTTCGTTCGGGGCTGGGGGTTGGTGGCCTCTAGAAGGTCTCGAGGGCAGGAAACGTGCTGGAATCTGCTCACTTCTGCCTGCCGTGCAGCATCCAAAAACCCTGGGGCCGGATAAACAGCTTCCTAGTTCTGATGATGAGATGCTGCCCTTTAAAAAGGAGGAACGCTCCCTTGTCATACCACAACCCAGCCCTTTAAAAGTGTATTCGTTCATCGGTGAAGACGGAGTGCCCGAGGAATCAATCAGACCCTCGAAGAGCGTGGCTTCTGTGTTATAGGTTAAAGCCCTGTCCCGCTCGGCATGAGTTCGAACCCCGGCGGGCTCCTCGCTAAAGGCCAACGCTAGAGAAAGCCGCAGCCGAGCCCACAACAGATCCGGCGGCGAAGGAGAAGCAGGAGCGCGGCATGCGAGGAAAACCCTGCCACGATACCTGGGAGGTTGTTGATGTACCCGCCGTCCATCAGGAGGTGGCCGTCTTTCGGATCGCAGAGCGGGGGCAAGTAGCCCGAGAGGGACATGCTGGCTCGGATGTAGCGCCAGAGGCAACCTACGGGGAGGGAAAAGCAAAGAAAGGCTCCGTCGCCGGCTCAAGGTGGACAAAAGTGGCCAAACTCCCCTCCTGCTCCCGAGCCCGCTCCGTCGCCTTCAGATGGAGGAAGGAGGGACGTCAGCCTGGGGCGAAGTATAGAATTTCTGGGCTACGGCAGAAGGGGGCGCGGGTGCGGATCGTGACCCAGCCAAGACACCCCCACAGGTTGAGCCCGGACCGGTTGTGCTTCTTCAACCTAGCTTTCCACGGAGTGGTGCAGTGAGGTTGAAAATGAGACAGAACTTTATGCCTGCACTTGCACTTGGACCCTTGAGTAATGAGGAAATAATGTGACACCCACACCCGCACAAACATCTCTCTCTCTCTCTCTCTCGGCATTTATACTTTTACTAATGTGACCTACGTAGGAGCCTCGTGTCACAATGGTTAAACTGCAGTCCTGCAGCCAAACCTCTGCTAATGACCCGGGTTCAATTCCATGTAGCCGGCTCAAGGTTCACTCCGCCTTCCATCCTTTGGAGGCCGGTTGATCGAGGACCCAGCTCTCGGGGAGCGCAGGGTCTTCTTTGCATAATTATGTTGCAAACCGCCCAGAGAGTGCTCCACGCCCTATGGGGTGGTACACGAGCAGCCCACTTTGCTTTCTTTCATTTTTTTTTGCTTTGTCTTCTCCTATCAGGACTAGCCGCAGCGGGTGCTGGGCGAGTATTTTTTCAAGTTTGGGATGAGCGACGAGGAGTTTGACACCGAGATTCAAGAGGAGTCCTCTCTTCTCTACACCAGTGGTTCGCCAGAGGTTCTCGGACTACGACTTCCAGAGATCCTGGGCCAGCGCAGCGTGGGGTGAAGGCTTCTGGGAGATTTTCGTCCAGGAACCTCTGGAGGCCCTAAGTTAGGAATCGTCGCTCGAACCCCTGGAGGGGGAAAAAAAAAATTCCACACTCCATTGGCAAGCAACTCTGTTCTCTCTTGGATCGGCTCAATTATTTCTATTCAGCGCTGCCGGACGAGGGAATTTATAACCATTAAAAGCAGAGTGTTTTTAATCAGCCGAAAGGCATTGGCTCCCTACGGAAAATGGCAAGGTCCAAGGCCGGCCCTCATCATTCATTCCTCCGAATTTCCATCTTACTCAAGAGTCACAAGCCAAGGAATAGGGGAGTGGGGTGGAAGTAGAGAAGTCAGCGGTTCCCCCCTCGACCCACAAGCGAAAGGAGAAGATGGAAGCCTGGGAAGATTGGTGGAAGCCCTTGACACAGGCAGCCTTTTCGATGGGAAAACGACACAGTGCATCCCACCATAAATTTTAAGCTGGCCGCAACTTCAGCCTTCCAGAACGAGGAAGTTGAAGAGATCTAATTAGTTAATTACAAGGCCAGACTGGTTGAACATTTGGACTGCGCCGTTCAGAGATGAATTTGCTCCCTGCGTCCCTTTTTCCATCTGTTTTTCTAATGGAAAATCCCTTTTTATTTTCCTAACGGTGCATTAAAAAAAACTGCCTAAGGCAAGGCAAGGTGCTAAATCAACGGGGGGCTTCTGGCACGGAGGGAGGGCAGTCCGGCGAGGAGGGAAAAATGGCTTGGGTTATAACCACTCAGAACGAAGCAGGGGTCTTGGCTGCTGGCTGGTGCTGGTTGGGGGAGACGTGGAAGGGAGGTGGGAGGGAGGCAGACGAGAATGCGGCCTCCGTCTTCGCCCACGCCAGACCCCCCTCCGAAGGGTCAGAAAGCTCCCGCAGACAGCTGTAATCCCCTCCATAGTGCTACGTTTTTGGGAAGCAGGATCGCCCTCCAAAGAGGCAGGCCAAAAACAAGCCACCTCACCGATGCCATGACCTCGGCTGAAAAGGAATCAAAAGCCCAATGCTTTGGTTGGAGGGAAAGGGGAAGAAGATACAGTGGTGCCTCGCATAGCGAACGCTTCGCTATGCGATGAAACCGCATAACGATGGGTCCCGGGCCATCGCTGGAGCGTTCGCTCAGCGATGGCCCCTATGGGCTTTTTTCGCTATGCGATGATCGTGCGGACGCGATCAAAGCATAGCGAACAGCTAATCAGCGGTTCCAAAATGGCCGCCGCTAAAACAAAATGGCGACCACTGTTTTGCCTCGCTAACGAGGCATCCAAAATGGCCGCCGCAATGGAGAAAACTCGCAGAACGGTGAGTTTTAAGTCCACAGGAACGTATTAAATCAGTTTTAATACGTTCCTATGGGCTTTTTTTGTTTCAGTTAACGATGGATTCGCTGAGCGAGGGTTAATCCGGAACGGATTAACCTCGCTAAGCGAGGCACCACTGTATATCCATAAAGTGGGGGGTGGGGAGCCTACAGAGGGAAATGAGCTGTGACCACTAAGCAGAACCTCCCTGATCAAGGGCAGCGTATCTTTGTCAGCTCATTCTCCTTAGGAAAACTGGGGCCATTTCCCTCTATTCGTGTAAGAAAATCCAGGCTGTCGAGCTGCAAAGGCTGGCAACGGTGGATATTGCTTTTAAATGAAGTTTTAAGCCTGATGTGGCTTCTCGGGAGGGCGTTCCCGCAACACATCTTGCCCAGGGACACACTTACCATCTGTATGGACCCTCATCTCCGAAGCGGTGATGTCTGTGGTGATGATGAAATACGGAATCCAGAGGTCCTGCCGTGCAGAAAGGGCTTTATTAAACGGCTAGCTCCTGAACGGAGTGCCGTGGAAAACAGAATTAGGAAAGGGTCGTGAAATCCTGAAGCAAGAGGTTGGGAGTTTGATTCCCCCAATGGGGCCTGCTTGACAGGGGTTGGACTGGATGATCTACAGGGTCCCTTCCAGCTCTGCGGTTCTAAAATGATGATGATCGTCAGCATATTTATTTGATAACCAGTGGAAGTGAACCCTGCGTGTATGCACAGAAATATTAATTCTATTCATCCTAACAAGAAGAGTTCAAAAGTGCCTGCTATTTGTGTTAACTCAGAATTGGCTGACTGCTTTTTTTAATGCCGAAGACCCAGAAGGTCGCTAAGTGAAGGACCTCTAGCTCGATCAATCTTAACTTTTAGTAAGTGCGTTTTGGGGTTTTTAAAGCCTCTGAATAAATTTAAAAATTAATGGACTGGTGGAGAGACAGATGGGCAGACAGACTGATAAGATCATCCTTCCCATTTCACTATAGTCATCGATGAGTTTACTTATACCAGCTTATTTGTGTTAAGATGAACACCATTTTTTGAATGGGCGTTGCATTTATTTTACAAACATTTCCGCAACCATGAAAAAAAAAACACGCAACAGCACAACAAAGCTGTAAGAAAGCGTCTGTGGGGTGCTAAAAGATGAGTTTAAAATGGATCCCTTAAGTGGGAGAAAGTGGCACAGAAATGTAAATGAATAAGCAAATTAAATTTAATTCTCTGATCAGTATGGGTGGGAAAACACAGAGAATATGCGTGTTGACTGCTAAGAAACTCTTCAAGCAGGAACTGGTTTAAGGGAGCGGCGAACCAGGATACGTAAATGAAGGAACATCAGCTCAGCCGGATTATAAATGCCGAGGGACACACCCGTCACGCTGGGCAGAAAAGATTTAAATCCATCCATGCATGCTGAAATTAAGTCCCCTTTAATATAACCACACCAAGATTTTACAGGATTGTGTCTTACAAATATAGAAGGGATCAAGCCGTCCGTAGATGGCCGGGCTCAAGAGGCAGTACCAGCGAAATAATCTGTAGCAGGAAGAGCTGGGGGGGGGGCAGGAAAGCTACTACCCAGAAGGATCACAGTCTTTCAATCTGAATTTCAAAACTCTGCGCTGAATTGCAGGATGGCTGGGAACTGCATTTGAGCTGAAGGTTGATGGCCTCTGTCCAAACACCGGCAACCTGGTGCCTCTGGATGTGTGGGGACGACCATGTCCATCAGGAGCGCAGGCTGATAGGAGCTCAGCTCTTGCAAAATCAAGCCTGTGGTTCCTTTTAAGGAGTCACTCCATCGCTTGTTATTGAATCAAGCCTGTGGTTCCTTTTAAGGAGTCACTCCATCTCTTGTTATTGAGTCCTCCTCTTCCCCTACTGCCTTCTGCCTTCCCCAGCAAAATGGCCTTTTCCTTCTCCTTTCTCCCTTCCTCTTTCCCTGCTGCCTTCTACCTTCCCCAGTAAGATGGCCTTTTCCTTCTCCCTTCTAAGGATGTGCCCAAGATAGGACAGCCTCGGTGGTGGTGGAGAGCTCAATTAACAAAAATGCTATTAAGAGACCCCCGGGGAGGGGTTAGGCTGGGCCTCCTTGCTGACATGGGGGACTATATTAGGGTGTCATCCACGGGGAGTTCTGGCCAGCCCTGACTCTCTGGCATTAAAAACAGCCGATAAATAAGATTCTTACCTCAATCTGTTTGTCTTTGAAGATGTCAGAGACGCTGCTGTTGAAGGAGGCTCCAGAGAACATGGAGGTGATGGGGTAGGTCAAGTCGAGGACAGTTTTGAACACCGAATTCATGTTCTGGAGGGAAGGGGGGGGGGAAAGAAAGAAAGCCAGACTTTTTCTATTGTTAAAAAAAATAAATTAAATAAAATGGAAGATAGAGACTAAAACCTTCATTTTCACTGATCTAAAGAAAGAAAGCCAGACTTTTTCTATTGTTCAAATAAAATAAAATGGAAGACAGAGACTAAAGCCTTCATTTTCACTGATCTGACCTAAAAGCAGGAGGGCTTTAAAAGTTTTGTATCCCAGGAAACCTTTGCTGATTCACTTGTCAAGGTGAATCAGTTGAATCAATGATTGATTGATTGATTGATTGATTGATTGATTGATTGATCGACTGAACCAACCAACCAACCAACCAACCAACCAACCAACCAACCAACCAACCAACCAACCAACCAACCAACCAACCAACCAACCAACCAACCAACCAACCAACCAACCAACCAACCAAGCAACCAACCAGTCAACCAGTCAACCAGTCAACCAGTCAATCAATAACATGACCAACTTTTTTAGGGCACCGCCCTATTTTAACCCGGCATAAGCCTGCTGAGTGTTGCTTGGTTTTTTTGCATGAACGTAGCACAATCTGGAATCCGTTCCACATGCCCTTTTGAGTTATGCACAGCCAGCGGGCAAATGGATGACACGGGAGAAGCGTGTTCACTATTTCCGACAGAAAATGCTCTGATGAGCTTCCAGCAGAAGCTAAGCCCACCTTGAAAGAATGCTTCCCAACCTTGACTCCCAGAGTTCAGGAGACGTAACAATGGGCTCAAATCCCAGGAAGCCAGATTTAGGCTGAAGATCAGGAAAAATATCTTAACTGTAAGAGCAGTACGACAATGGAACCGATGACCTCAACGGACGGTGAGCGCTTCGTTGGACGACCCTCTGTCAGATATGTTTCGATTTGGATTCCTGCCTTGAGCAGGGGGTTGAATTTGATGGTTTTGTAGGCTCCTTCCAATTCAGTTATTCTATGATTCTATGGAGAAAAAGCAACCACGGATACGGTTTCAGAGGGAAGCTTTCTGAAACGAAACAAGCTCCTTCTTCAGACAGTGGCCTCTTCTCCTCTGAACCATTCCTGCTTCGTTCTTAAGAAGCCTCTCTTCGCAGGGGATTGTTGGCTTTATTACACAGCCTCCCCATTTGCTTAGGCGGAGGCAAACACTGATTTGGCCCTCGGGCCAGCCCCTTATCACCTCTCAGGAGACCTGGTGTTAAGTCAGTCCCGGGGGTAAACATTAAAAGAGGGCAAAGCAAATGTGGGGGGGACACGCTCAGAGCTTCTGTCCTACAGATTTAGTGGGCTTGGGGACCGGCTTATCCAGCCTGCCCTATTTTGTTTTCTGACCCTGACTGTGTGAGATTTGAGGATGAACCTAAGAGACAGATGTGGCCTGGAAAAGAGATTTATATATAAAAAAAGGCCTTCCGTTTGTTCTGCAGTAATTCCATCGACCTGGTTTCTCTCCCTCCCTGGCGGAGGGTGAGGGATGGTGTGGTAGGGGCCGTCGCTTTCTAAAAATACCTAAAAGCCTTTTTCACCCGCAGTCATTCCTCATCTTGTTTCAGCACGATGGGGGCGACAGGTGGGAGCTATTTCGCGAGGCAGGCCAAGGCACAAAGAGGCGACGGGCAGTAACCGGGCCATTCGCTGGCTGGAGGCATCCCTTCCGGAGCCAGCCCCACCCGGCGGCTGCAGTAGGTGCGCTACGAGCCGAGAAGGAGCCAATGTCCCGCACCCAAAATAAACCCCGGGAACTCTCTGCCCTCGGCTTCTGCTCCAGGCACGTAGCTTGCCTCAGAGGGCACAGGTCGGAAAAGCTTCCAATGCGACATGGGGAGCGTGCCGGGGCCGGTTGGCACACGGTGTGTGGCTCCATGTCTCCTAGACTCATAGGACCGTTGAGTTGGGGCCCCTACGGCCACCAAGCCAACCCTCTGCTCCAGGCAAGGGATCCAGGTTCATGCAGATCGGACCAGAGGGGGGTTCCCATGCTCTCTTGAAGGCCTCCAGTGCTGGAGCGTTCACCACCTCTCCCCGAGATCACGGGTTCCACTTTCGTACTGCTCTAACAATCAGGAAGTTTCCCCCCGATCTTCAGCTGAAATCCGGCTTCCTGTCGCTTGAGCCCATGATGACATATCCTGCACTCCGGGTTGATCAAGAACAGATCCTGCCCCTCTTCCGGAGGGCTCCCTTTCAGGTCTTTGAGAAGGGCTTCCCTCTCTCCCCTCCATCTTCTCAAGGCTAAACATGGCCAGTTTGTCCACGCTTTCCTTGAAGGGCTTAATTTCCAGTCCCCTTGGTTTCCAGCCATCCTTGTTTCTCCCTCTGCCAGCCCTGTGCCATATCTATCTTCCCCAGAGTCTAACCATGTGTACTTATTTCTTTATTAGTTAATTGGGGATGCTGATGTTTGCCCTCCACCCAGTGAACTCGAGCTAACATGCCTGTCCCCCACCCCATAGCCTCGCAACCTCCTAACCCTAACTCCCCCAAAGAAGGGAAGAGGAAACCACTTCTGAGTATTTTCTACCTGGAAAACCCCGGAAAAGAGTCAACATCAGTCAGAACAGACTTGATGGCACACAATTATTATCATGATGGCATTACGTAGAACAACAACCATTATTTATCAGCCAGGTCAGGCTAGGAGAGAAAAACACGCCCAATGAGTGTAATAGATAAATGGGGATTGTTCTGTAAAGGTGATGCCCTGCAGGAGAGGCTTGATGGGACAATTTGGCTTACAAATCCTGATTTATTTGCTACTGATCCACGGTTTTAAACGGAACTAATTCAGGAACACAGACAGGAAGTAAATATAAGAGGAGGTAACCCAAGCTTGGAATCGTTGCGACGACAGCGCCCAGCCAGAAGAAACAAACTAGGCATCGGCTTTATGAATTTGAAGGCCATAAAACCGCTGTCCTTCCAAACCAGCGTTGCCGCCGGAATGGAAGAGAAGTGGGATTGGTCTATTCCGAGCAAGGGCGGAAGACGTTGGCCCTCGCTCGACATCAGCTTTGCCAAATAGTCAAAAGCGGCTGCATGGATTACATGGTCTCGCGATACTGGTTCCTCGGGCGAGGCATGGCCCCCTGGTTTAGCAAAACCACTTAAAGCCAGTGAGAACTAGCTTTTAAAAAAACTATACAATATTTGTACAAAACAAAAGGACAAAGCAAATTTGTGAGGCGCGACGGCTGGGGTGGCGCTACAACTTTGGTCCGCCCTCCTTCTAGGTCAGGAAGAGGGGGACTTGAACACGACTCTGATGGTTGCTCCCCTCGGAGGGAGGAGGGATTCGTGGTGGCTGTGATGATGGGTTATATAGTCCAACAACGGCACCTAATCACAGAAGGCTGCGAGTTCAGGGACCCGGCCTGGTTCGGCCCGCGAAGATTTGGGGGCTGAGGCAAGCCGGGGCAAAAGGCTGGGAGGAACGGCAATTTCCCGTCTCTGAAGTCCCTTTTTCTCAATTAAGGCCAGCCTGACGGCCGCTCTCAGAAAAATTCCCCAGGAAACCAATTCCCGCACACTCCATAAATCAAAAGGGGAAATGCTTCTATAAGTGGCAGAAAGACATATTGCACTCGAGACTCGCGGAGGCCATATGCCGAGACGTCAGTTTCGGGGCTCAGAAAGTCTCCCGGTTTGGAGCCACCAACGAGGCGGGGCTCGAGTTGCGTGATTCGCCGTCAAGCTGGAGGTAAATCGCACCCATGACTCCGTTCCCAAGACTCAGGCTTGGCTTGCAATTCAGAAACTCACCTACCCCTCCCTTTTTTCCGGGGGAAAATGCTTATTTTCAAATAGGGACTCCGACTGGGGGCTTGGCGCCAAAGACTCGCACTCGGGACTCGGACTCAAAGACTGCGAAATGCAAATTTCTTGTTCGAGTTTCCGAACGGCCATTTCGGGAACGGAGATTTCACGTAACCCATCCCCCGCCCTCTCAACAAAGTAGGGTGTTCTCCCCTCCCGCCCAATAGGATGATTTCTGCTCCCAAGGAGGTTTTAAAAAGAAAGAAAAGTCAGAGAGAGGAAAAAAGTTACCTCGGCCAATCACTTCCACTCACGCTATGGCAGCATGTGGAACGAGAGAAGGAGAAAAAAAAAGTTAGAAGAGAGAAACGCTTCGGAGAGAAAGCGGGGCAGAAAAAGACCGACCCTTTCTTTCCATGTCCTGGTGGGGCAAACACGGTCCTTCAAAAGACATGGGCTCTCCTGGGCTTTTGATCCAGGGTGGATTATTTAAAAAACAAAAACACGATTTTTGTAAAATAAAATTCACTTAAATCCCAATTCAAATTTTAAAAATCGGATTGTTTAGCAATTTAAATGTCGTTTTAAAAAAAATCAAGCGTACTTGCTCGCAGGAATGGGATGCCGGTCGGATGGCAAGTCCCTCCTTACCATTGCCCACTGCCGGGCCTTGATCCTCATCTGGGTGTAACTCCGCTCCTCCGCGTAGAGCGCCCCCATGAAGGAGCCGATGGAGGTGCCGCCGATCATGTCCACCGGGATGCCCACTTCGTTGAGGGCCCGGATGATGCCCACCTGGGAGCAGCCGCTGGGAGAGAAGGCGAAAAGAAAGGATAAATCAGCGTAAGGTTAAGGTGGGCAGGAAGCTAAAAAAAGGGCAGCCCTCGGATAAAACTCAAGGCCTTCCCCTCTGAACTGGGTGGGAGGCAACTCCGCTGAGGTCAAATCTCTGCATTTAAAAGGGGGAAAAAGTTGTGAGATTTAGTTTTAAGTCAGAGGTGTGTAACGCAGAGGTAAATATTATTACTGTTCATTTGCAGAATAAAGTCTGTGTGAATTTCGTTGCACGTGTATGCTATGTACATAGACTTACAATGGCAATAAATTAATTTGATTTAAAGCATTCGGCCTCCACCATCTCCAACGAAACCCTGGACCCACCTGCCTCCCGTACCCCCCCCCAAAGTTCACGAGCAGTCCTATCGATCGCTGAGAGACCAGGGCCGGTTCTATCCTTAGGGAGAGTGAAAGGAGTAGCTAACGGGACAAGGGTGGGTGGGTAGATCGACTTAAAACAGGGCCAGACTCCCTCCTGTCTTCATGAACCCTCAAAACTCTTCCCGTCTGTTGGAGAACAGATCTGCGGTGGACCTCGGTGTACTCAGCTGCTTACATCCACATCAAATCTCAATTTCCCTTCTTGTTTTAATGACAGGAACTGTTTCATTGCTTGCTTGTCCACCCTACAGGCCAGGGATTCCCAACCTTGGGTCCCCAGATGTTGCCCTCTGAGAACATCTGGTCGGGAACCACGCTATATGCAGAAGCAACAAACTGTCTACATTCTGCACCCAACCGGTGCAAACAAACCAACAAAAAGACCTCGAGCTTCAAGGTGGTATATTTCTGCAGGATGAACAGAAAGGATCACTTTCTCGTTTTATATACCCGTGTCTTACACAAAGATCTTCGTCCTGAGCAGAGGGAGGGTCCCTCAAGTGCACCAAACCTTGTCTTAAACAGCTTTTCGCTCTTTAAGAGCGGCGGACCAAAAAGTTTCTAATTTTTCCACCGAAAGAAAACCAGGGATTCCCAACCTTGGGTCCCCAGATGTTGCCCTCTGAGAACATCTGGTCGGGAACCATGCTATATGCAGAAGCAACAAACTGTCTACATTTTGCACCCAACAAACCAACAAAAAGACCTCGAGTTGGGCCCAAAAGTTTCTAATTTTTCCACTGAAAGAAAACCCAAAACTTTTATTCGGCGGAAAGAAACAGAGGGGAGGGGGCTCGGAAGATTCCCGCTTCCGAATTTTTCCACTTCCCCCCCCCCTTCTAGGCCTTTGCATCCTGATCTGTCAATCCTGTCACCTTCTCAAAGCAGATCCTTTGCCTCGGGCAGCAAAATACCCTGGGGTCAGCACAATGAGAAACATCTCGCCTCTGAGGCCTGACCGACCGAGATATATCTGGTTTTGCATCTCCTCTCTAATCGCTGAACGGACAAAAGGGTTGCAACAGTATGTGCTTGGAAGGAGACCAAAGTCCTCTCTTTTTATTTCCCCCTCCCCGGATAAGCTGCAGCTCCGTCAACGTGAAACGTTGTAATTTGAGCACAGGGTCTGCTGGAGCCCGTGTATTTTTATGCCAGGACGGGCGGTGTTGTCTCTAGGAACGAGTGAGGGCTGTTGCTGTTCTCTTGTCTGTTACGAGAAATTGCAAAAGGATAATTATCGTGAAGGGTCCCCCGCTTTGTCGGGTGTGTGTGTGTGTGCAAAAGAAAGAAAGAAAAACTCACAACCTAATTGCTACTTCGGAAGCCTGGCGAAGAACACAATGCGGAGTTTGTGTGTGTGTTCGTGTGTGCGTGCGCGCAGCTGCTCCTTCCTGGTCTACGTGCCTCTGGCTGAGATTCGGCACAAGAGAAGGAAGGGTATACAGAAAGAACGCCAGCGGTTTGCTGCTAATGCGAAGTCGCTGTCGGAGATGGGGTGACGTCCCCTTTTCAGGCAGATTGAAAGTAGAGAGTTCACTCTGGGGGTGGCGAGCAGCTTTAAAATATATGTATATATTTCAAGCCCTCTGCCCTTTCAATGCCAGGAAAGCCAGAGAGAAACAGAGAGGAGAGATGAGAGATGCAGAATCCCCAATGGGCAGATTGAAAGTAGAGAGTTCACTCTGGGGGTGGCGAGCAGCTTTAAAATATATGTATATATTTCAAGCCCTCTGCCCTTTCAATGCCAGGAAAGCCAGAAATAGAGAGAGAGAGAGGAGAGATGCAGAATTCCCAGTTTATTCTTTTTATTTTCTCAGGCATGCATGTTGTAACTGACGACACGCTGGCGGACTGAATTTGGCACCTGAGGGACATCCACTTCGATCCAATTTTAAGAACCAAGCTCCTAGTCCTCTTGTTCACCACCTGCCTTCCCTTTTTCTTCTATTTGTGTGCCTCTTTTCTCCCAGAACTGGGACCCGTGGCCGCTTACTGGATCGTTTAAAAAGGGCAGAATTAAGATACGGTGGGTTAAAAATATTAAAAACAGAACTAAGCGATGAATTATATGATTAAAACACAATTAAAATTAAGGCACTTTAAAGTCTCTTAGTTAAAATATCCGTGATCGTTTTGCCTACAAAAGGAGGAAGAACGAGCACATGGATTAGGACTATGTGGTTACAAAGCTGTCAACGGCAGAAAGTAAGTGCTGTCAAATCAATTCTGACATATTGAGACCCTTTTCTAGGTTATCCAGATAGAGAAGACTCAGAGGTGTATTACCCTTCCCTTCCTCTAGGGGCAACCTTGGGACAGTGCAGCTGGCCCAAGGCTACCCAGGCTGGCTCTTCTCCCAGGAGACACAGAGGGGATTCGATCTCGCAACCTCCAGCTCTGTAGCCGGATATTTAACTCATCAAGCTATCCAGCCAGCTGTTAACACTAAAGGCCTGCCTAAACAAGAAGGTTTTTGCCTGCTGAAAACAAGGACAATAGGTACAGGCAAGCCTAGCCTCTTTCATCAAGGGGAGGCAGAGCCGGGGAGCAGCTACAGAGAAGGCCATGTCTCTTTCCCTTTCGTCTATCTCAAAGTTTAGATGGTAGAGTTTTTCTGGCTGGGGAGTGTCCTCTGCAATGGCGCACGCAAGGCTGAAGCTCTAGACTTCAAGATGCAGTTAACTCCGGTTCCCATCAGCCTCTGCCAGCAAAACCAGCAGTGAAGACTGATAGGTACTGCAGACCAATGACAGCCAGAAAGTCACATGGTGATCCATCCACCCTGGTAAACCAAGCCTTTAATACTTCAAATAAGCAAAGTACTTAAAAACTTTTATAATACAAAAAATATTTTTTTTAAAAATGTTTTTAATAAAGATTTTTTTTAAAAAAAATATATTTTTTTAAAAAATAAAGAAGACAAAGGCTCTGGGTCCTTTTTAAAGGAGGAAGGCGGGGTAAATTTTTTAAAAAATAAATTAAATAAATAAAACAGGCCCGTGAGCCACTGAGGTGGTGCAGCAGGTGCGCATGAGATGCCCGCCACCCACGACAGCCGTCGACGTCCTAAAGATAAGCCAAGATGCAAACGATTAAAGCGGTGTTGTAAAAAAAAAGAAAGAAAGGAAAAGGTGAGGAAATATTGTTAGCAAGGTGTGGGAGGAAGGTCTCTCTGAATGACAAGACAATCGCTACCTCGGCCGGGTTCGGAATGCTAAATTTCTCCCGGGCTGGTTTCGGGGGCCACCCCCTCAATGACAACTCCACCGGCAGCGTTTCCCTCTTTCTCTCCCTTGTCAACCTCAACCAAAATAGAGAGGAAAGCAGGAAATTTAGACTGTTAACAAAGGAAGGAGAAGCATACAAGCCCTCTGGAACAACGTGTGGGTGTGTGGGCGATATTTTTTTCCCTTTCCCCCTCCTGCATGGCGCTTCTCTCAAACCCCAGAACAATCGCGGAGGGGCTGGCAGCCGAGCGTCAGGGAACTAATTACCCCCGCGAAACGCACCGGAGACGAGAAAATTCCAAGGTTCGTTTTCAATTAACGCCGTGCGCATCAGCCCAGCCTCTCCGCCCACCCGGTGGGTGCAGCAACCTCTGAGGACAAAAAATAAGGGCGGTGTTTTCGAGAGAGACTCAAAGAGTTCTTCAATGATCCCGGCAAGGTTTGCCAAGCGCACCTCGTGAGATTGGGAACCACCCCTGCACCGGGGAGCGGCTGAAAGGCGAACAAACGGAAAGGATGGGGAAGAAAAAGGCCGCGTGCCGCTCTGCAATTTCTGGAGCCGGGAATCGAACCTTGCACCCGTCTCCAAAAGGAAGCTTTTTCTAGAATAAAGAGGGAGTCTCGTCACTCGTGGCTCCCCCCTGCAAAGGCTGTTTTCTGTGGCTTCCAGAACCTACGTGAGAAAATTACATCTCCCCCCCCACTTCCAGGGAGCATGACTCGTTTTCCTGGATAACTTGGTTTTATTGGATTCTTCCTCCCCAGGCTGGATGTGGGTTGCCACCCCATTCACTTTGGGTTTCAGATAAGAGGGACCCGGAAGGGCCGGAAAGGTCACGGGACCTTTGAAACGGGGGGCCTCGCTCAGCTTTTCTTGCTCTGGGCCCATCATGAGCGAAGATAGGAGAGCCCTTTTCAAAGAATTGAAAGGTGGAGGGGGCAGGATCTGTTCCCGAGCATCCAGGAGCGCAGGATGCATCAGAATGAGCTAGGAAGTCAGATTTCAGCTGAATATCGGGAAGGAAAACTTTCTCAACTGTTAGAGCAGTACGACAACGGAATCCGCGACCTCGGGAGGTGGCGGGCGCTCCAGCGATGGGGACCTTCAAGAGATCACTGGAGCAACCCTCTGTGAGATCTGTAGTGAGCAGAGGATTGGACTTGACGGCCTTAGAGGCCACTTCGAACGCCATTATTCTATGAGGATTCTCCGGGGAAGATAATAATTCGGGGCAAGATGGAAGGCAGGAGGGAAAGAGGAAGACTCAATACAAGATGGGCTGACTTCCTAAAGGACGCCACAGGCTTGAGTTTGTAAGAGCTGAGCCGGGCAGTGGAAGGCAGGGGATTTTGGAAATCACTTATTCATAGGAAGCAAATTCATAGTACATAACCATTACAGCCTCACTCTTATTTTATACCAATCAAAGACCCTCCATTTGCGCAGAGATGCACCAGAGGTGGATACTGAGCGACAGGTAACAGGAAAAGGTGAGTTTAAGGAGGTCGCAGGAAATCCAACCCACAACAGTGGCTGGCACACAGCTTGGAAATAGTGTGTTATAACTAACAATCCAACATGCCATTAAGTGACTTTTAGGGGTCCTGATGAAGTGACAGCTCTCCCTTTTCAATCAACAACTGATAACCTCATTCCTTCTTTTTTTAAAAAACATGCTGTGAGTCATGCTCACTTCTTCTCTTACTTTTTAGAGGTTACAAATGCTTTCTCACAGCGGTCTGTAGGATTTTCTCTCCCCCCCCTTCAAATTATAGTTCCTTTTTCTTTCTTCTTTTTGACCTCTGAAATGGATTTCCTTTTTTTTAAAGGGACTTAGAAGGAATGGAAAAATAAACTAAGCAAAAAAAGATACGGAAGATCATCCCTGGGACGCCAGTCAGTTATTTTGAGACAGAGAGAGAGGTTATGGGATGGACTCCTTTAAAAAACAAAAACAGGAAACATCCACGTTCTGTGTAGGTCTGTGTTCAGGTTGTCTGAACGTACATCTCATTCTTGAGAGACATCACGTGGAAGATTCCACGGGAATCCGGCACAAGGGTGATCTCAAAGCCCGCGGGCAGCCTTACCGCGCGCCTCCTCCTCCCAGCACTAAAGCGATCGCGTTCCCCGTCAAGACGCGGGCCAGCCGGGAGAAGTCCGAGTGTCTGTCCGGAGGCTTCTGAAACACACGCTCGTACAGTTCTTTCTGCAGAGGGAGAGCGAGAGAAAGAGAGAGACGGTCAAGGATCCTGGAGGCCAAGTGTGCCAAACAACAACAACAACAACACACACACCAAGGGAGGGCATAGTGTGTATACCGTGGAGAACAGCCAGGAAAAGCGTGCACGCTGGCGTTTATCTATAAAGACATTACGCATGGGTTCACTCTGTGTGGCCCTGTTATACTGTGCTATTGAGATCTTGATTTGCACATGGAAGGTCCCGGGTTCGAATCCGTACAGCTGCACTCGGGGAAACAATGCCGGCAGAACGGAACGGGAACGATCCAGGAAACGAATAAGGATCCTTGGCCGCCCACCCGTCGCAGAGTCGCTTACCAATTTGGGCAGGCTCCGTCGGGAGAAGACGCGGCGCGGGCAACGGAGGTGGAGGTGAGCCGAGCACCAGCTCCGCATGTTCAGCCACTCCACGGTCCGGGAAGGAAGGGGCCCGTCCTCCCGGTGGAGCAGGATCAGTTGCTTCTGGGCTCGGACGGCCGTGTTCTCCAACATCCGCTCCAACTGGAATGAAAAAAAAAGAGATCTGTCTTGGGGAGTGTATAGCTATCCCCGCCTTGGGACTCCGAGAACCAGTTTCCCCTGGGCATGCTCCCGGCCTTAGCCCACGAGCCTCGCGGCCAGCTCCGCCTGATACTCCCTGCCTGCGTCGGAACTGGTAGTGAGCCTTGTGGCTCAACTGCATTACTGCAGTCAAGCCTCTGCTCACGATTTGAGACTCAGGACTCGAACTCGGGACCAAAGGCCGGGGACTTGGGACTCGGACCCAGCGACACGTCTGCAGTCCTGCAAAAGGAAGAGCCCCCAGCCTGTCTGTTTACCTCCCCAACGGTCGGCTCTTGTTCCCCGAGGCCCACGATCAAGATGCAGTCCGCCTGCCGGATGCAGCGCTGGGTCCACGGGGTGAGGGTGCCGTCC